AAGATGGCGCCGGTTTCCTGCTTCCTGGTTCTTCTTGCAAGCCTTGCTTGAATGTGCGCCTGCGCAAGGCGCGAAAACCAGTATGCTAATTTGGCGACATCATAAGAGCCAATGAGTGTAAGGCACGTCTCCTAAAGCTCTATATAAGCCATAAGCTTTTGGGGCTTGGGGTCCCTCGCCTCACTACCATCTAAGAGAGCTGTAACACTACCATCTAAGAGAGCTGTAACACTAAAAGAGCTGTAACAATAAAACTGCTGTCAGAAGAATCCTGAAGCGTGGCGTTCTCCTTTTCGGCAAGGCGGCGCCCCGCAATGTTCACTCCATTAGACTCTTTTACCTTTTAAAATAAAAAACAAATATTTGAGAGAATGGAGGATAATGAAGAAACACATATGGAGGTACCCAGCATTCACCAAATTCTCTCCTACAATGGCTCAGCAGCTGGCTGTCACACAAGTCAGAGTACACAAGACAAAAATACTCTAGTATAAACCAGCAGGGACTGCACAGTGGGAATCTAGTGTCATACCGCTGAGACAAGCCATGAGTAATGTCCTCAAGAACCACAGGCATGGCCAGTCCTATGTTCCTTCCCATTGGTACTAGGGTCCCCACCATCCCTCCGACAGTGCATCATCTGGGCCCCTAGCACTTACAACACTATAGAAAACAGAGATGCTTGACATACACAGTGTGCTGCTGCCAGATCAAGTAACACTGCCACAGCTCTAGTCCTGTTTCCTCCCCTGAGAAACACTGCCCAGGAAGGTCTCAAGAGAACTATGCTCAGTGCAAGATATACCTTGTTCTGTTTAACTCCTAAGGTGAAGTGCCCTAAACCCTAGTAGACACTATCAGAGAAAGAATCATGTGGAGAACACCTGTGTCAATTGCTCCACACCCACCCCAAGAGAGCAAAGCTCCATTGTGCTCCCCAGTCAAAGAGTGGGGGCCTATTCCCCTAATGCCACAGCCAATGAGAGGGAAGGGCCAGCTCTCCTGACTACCACAGGTAGTGAATTGAGGGAGAGCATCACCTCAACATCCATGCCAGCAGATTGCCTCAAAATATATCTATAGGGGATTTCTCTAATTAATCATCAGGGTGGAAGGACTCAGCCCACTGTAGGCAGTGCCACTGCCAGGCTGGTGATCCTGGGTGGCATAAGAAAGCTACTAAGCAAGCCATGGAGAGCAAGACATAAAGAATGACCAATCCTTCACGGCTTCTGCTTCAGTTTCTGTCCGAGCCTCCTCATGGCCTCTGAGTTCTTTCCTCCTATTTATTTTTGATCATGGGCTGTTAACACAGCAAAAGAAAGCACACTAACACATAAACATTTGACCAAACTGTACTATGTGGTAAATGTTAGTTCTCAAGACTCTCCAAATATCCAGAAATGAGATCAAGCTGGATTATGGAATTTCTGAAAGTTAGATAAAAGCCATTGTTCCTCGGGAACTTCTGAAACAAATTACCATCTGCCGAAAGTATCTTTAGCCTTGTTTTTGCTACTGTTATTAATGTACAATGTACTCTCTTTATTTACTATATACATTCTTGAACAAATAGAGACAGATTGTCTAACTCCAATATCCTTAATAGATACTGGCTCTCATTCCTGTCAGAAATCTGCTAAATGTTTCTATGGTAACTATGTTACTATGCTTTTCTAATGTTAAAGCTTACTATGATAGACAGAGACTACCAAATCCTGACAGTGAACCCCAACTCCACAGATCTCTGAATGACATGGGCACAGCGACAACAAGACTGCCTAGACTGTGATATGATAACCACTGAGAAACACCGCTCCATTGCCTTGCCCGCTGCCAGGGCTTGGTCTAAACTGTGGACAGAGGACACCCAGAGAGTTACATGTCTCCTATGCCTAAGACAAGTGAGTCATTTCTCCCACGTTCCTCCCCCACAGGAAAAAGCTTCTCATCTTCTGGGCCTGATGGTCACACTACCTGTGCCTGAATCACGATGGAATTGTCCACTGCAGGTCCCACAAGATGGATGACTCTTTTTTTTCTCCAAGGGAAACAACCGAGCTGACAAGGTAGCTAGAGCTGTTTTACCCAACATAGGACATTCTTACACTCCTCCAAGGTCCTTAATTCTTTGACATCCCACCTCATAAATGACACTAACCTGTCATATTTTGCCTTCTGCTTCAGACCCTGACCTCCGCCCACCAACTCCTTAATGTCATGCCACCTAGGCACGTTATAGACTACTGGCATGTGTACGCCCTGAACTAACTCACATCTGCCACTTACAGCTTCTCCATTGACCCTGCCAAGTAATCTTACTTCACCTTTCACCATCTGCCCTGACTCTGGTGTTGCCACGACCCCATACCTCTTCTCTATCACTCTGAACTATAGACTTAAGTGTTTCTCATGCTAATCTATATAAGCAGCTATCATATTCAAAAGGTCAAAATTTCAAGTTTGCTTTGTCTTTTAAATGTAAACTTAAAATGTTTCTCATTGTGTTAAATTGACATATATTCAATCTCCCAGATAGAAGGGAAAAGCCCTTCTTGCTCCTTCTCCTCCATGAAAGGTTTTTGTCTTCCCTAAACTCATCTTAAAGAGTGTTCATGCTGTTAACAGATTTATCTCTTTTGTAAACTTATGAGCTCCAGGAAACCCACTCAGATCCACCTCTCATGGACCAAACAGACTCCATCTAGATAAGTACACCTGCCAATCAATAGCCTAAGTTTCCACCTCTTACCTATTCCAGAGGATGGGATTCCTCTCCTGTTCCCTGGGATTGGGACTTCTCTCACCTCAACCACTTAGACCTAAGGGTTTCAAATGTCAACCTAAGAAGATTTTTTTCTCCCCAAAGTACTTAATTTTATTCCCTACCTCTAATATATATATGAGTGTTTCAGCATCTTGCAATGTCCAGGCTTTTACTGAAAATCTGCATCCAGGACAGCTCCAGAGAAGCAACCCACAGATGCGCCAGCACTTGCTCTCACAGACACAGATTCTTCTACTGGACCTACTTCCTCCTATCCACAGATGGTCCCACAGAACCTGGACAGCAAGGAAACAGCCAATTCTCCCAAGACTGGACCAACATTCCCATCCCCATTTTCTTAGGTTTCCCAGAGACACAACACCTCAGAGTCAAGCAGGAAATAGCTGAAGATCACGACGACCCTATCCCTAGTTCACCACCACCTCTTTCTAGTTTCTCCTTTTCAAAATTAAACCAAAAATGGAAGAATGTCAGCATGCAATCTAGGCTCCAGCCTAGGCAACAGCCAGGTAGGCCTGGCTTGCTATGAAGGGGGCTGGTTTTCCCCTTCTTGCTCTCTCTGCCATGTCTGTCTGATTCTTTTCTCTCCCTAACACCATTTTCTCTCTTCCTCCTCCCACCCCCTTTTCCCCTCTCTCTATGTGTTCTGACTGGCCTCTTCTCTTTCTCTCTTTCTGTTTCTCTCCATCTTTCTCTTTCTGACTCCCTTCTTAACTCCTCTTCCCATGCCCTAAATAAACTCTATTCTATACTATACCCAGCGTATGTTTGGTACCTTCAGGGAAGTGATGCCTCATCATGGGCCGACAAGGCACCCCTCCCACCTCACAACACTTTCCTCTACGAAACATATCCTGGTCTTTTTAGAAACACAACACAGTCTATTTCTCTCTCTGTCTGCTCTAGACTCCTCTGGATCCCTCTGGCCGCTCTCTTATGTCTACAGTAAAAAACATTAATCTTCATCATGGAGCAGTCATGTGAGCAGTTTCTTTACTACATCCCGTCAAACAGCTTAAAAAAGTCAAAGCATTTCCAGAAAATCAGGAACAAGGCAAGTATATCCACACTCTCTACTCTCCCTCAAAATGGTATTGTTTCAGCTAGAACAAACAAACAAGAGAAACAAACAGAAGGGAAGCAAAGCCAGAGTTTCCTCATTTGCAGACACTGTGAGTCTGTACTTAGAGTCCCCAAGGCTCCCCCGGAATACTCTTGGAACTGATAAACTTCCAGCAAATTGAAGGGTACAAAGTTAACATGGGAAAAAAAACTAGTGCCCTTCCTATACAGCACTAAACAAAGTGAGACAGGATCAGGGAAGCCATCCCATTCACAGCAGCCTTGAAACACCACCCTGAAAGGGCCTGGTGGATGTAGTACACGCTTTTCATCCCAGAGGCAGAGGTTCGCAGATCTCAGAGTTTGAGGCCAGCCTAGTCTACAGAGCAAGTTTTCCCCAAGGCTCTTTCACAGTGAAACCCTGCTCCAAACCAAAAATATAACAACAAACAAACCCTGGAGTAAGAGGCCAGAGTGATGGTTCAGCAGCTCAGAGCAGGTAATGCTCTTGCAGAGGACCCTAGGTAGGTTCCCAAAGCCTACATAACATCGCATTCTCTGTCCTAGGCCAGCAGGCACCAACCATAAACTAACACAGGAACACACATATAAAATAAAAAATATATCTGGCACCAACCATAAACTAAGAGAAGCACATACAACTATAAAACAAACAACATATCGTAAAAAGGAATACCTGGGAGTAAACCCAACCTAGTATGTGAACAATCTCTATGATGAAAACTTTGAAACACTGACAGGCACTGCAGAGATTGCTTAGCAGAGGACCTGAGTCCTGTGCCCACAGCTCCAGTACCCACAGCTTACAGCCATCTGCAACTACAGTTTTAAGGGACTTGACACCCTCTTGTGACAGGCAGCAGACACACGTGCATCACACTTACATATATGCACAGAAAACACTCATATAAAATAATTAAATCTTTAAAAAAAAGTGTAAGAGGGGAAAAATCAGGTGTGTGGTGTAAACCTTTGACTGGATGGGGAGTCAAGATAGGTGGATCTACATGGGGACTTCTAGGACAGTCAGGTCTGTACAGGGAGATCCTGTCTCATCATCACCAACAACAAAAGGATGAAATCAGAACTCACATCCAGGTAACTTTTGCTACTCATCGGCCAGACTCACCTCATGAATATCCCAGGTGGAAATCTTGGTCACAGAACTCACTATACAGGCAACTGATCTGTCTTGTCGGAGTCTTGTTAAGCCACACCCTGAGAGATAACATGCAGATCCCCAAATTCCTGCAAGGAAACCCCAACATTATTTGGAATGAGACACTTAAGGGGCAATTCAAACCAACGAAGGTATGTTTCATTTTCCTCTACCTTGTAGAAGGATGGATAAAAGTTGTGGGAAGGATGAAGCAGAGGCAGTCAAGCACACTGCAGGTTGGTTCTTTGTTCAGTTACAGTTACTCTTTAATGTGCTTCTAGAGATACAAAATGGGTACTGGGGGCTGGGGCTGGAACTCAGTGGGGAGAGTGCTGAGTTCTGTTCCTAGAGGCCTATAAACCTTAAACAAGTTCGCATTTGGAGGCACAAGTATCATGGTCATTGGTGTTTGCTGCATGAAGGATTTGAGGTCAGCCTGTGGTACATGAGATCCTGTCTTGAAAGAAAGAGAGAAAGAAAGAAAGAAAGAAAGAAAGAAAGAAAGAAAGAAAGAAAGAAAGAAAGAAAGGAAGGAAGGAAGGAAGGAAGGAAGGAAGGAAGGAAGGAAGAATGGAAGGAAGAAAGAGAGAGAGAAAGACAGAGAGAGAAAGAGAGAGAGAGAGAGAGAGAGAGAGAGAGAGAGAGAGAGAGAGAGAGAAGCCAAAGAAATGAAAAAGCCAGATGTAAAGATGTACCAGTCCCAGTGAAGGCAAGCAGCAGATCTTGAGTTTGAGGCTAGTCTAGTCTACAGATCAAGTTCCAGGCTAGCCACAGCGATATAGTTTCAATACAAACAGAAAAGTAAGATTTTCCCATGAGGAGAACCAATTCCACACAATGTCTACACACACACACATACACACACACACTGTGCCATGTACACATCATATACACACACACTAAAAATAATAAATGAAAGAAATTTAAAAGTATCTCTCCATCAGAAACCTACTCTAGGAACTTTTTAGAAAAAAGATAAATACTAAAGTCTATCTAGTAATTTCCCCATTAAATTCTCTCTATACTCTGGGAAAAGTGGGAAGCCTTGAGAGTAAGGGAGAAAGAAGGCTGGTTTTCTGATTCTGATCAACCACTCAGCAGATCACAGAGTGGTTCTATGGTTAGGCTAGCATGGCAGCCCCAGCCCGTTCAACTGCAATTCCTTTCCTCTTATTGAATGAGAATGTAGGCCTGCAGAGAATGGGAAAAACCAAATGGATGTGTCTTCTATTGTACCCAAGGCCATACCAGACTCCACCCGAATTTCCTTGTAAGTGAAATCTTCTGGCTTTGCTCGGGACTTGGTGTGTTCTTGCCATGTTTGGTAAAGAAAGAACTGCTTCCATGTCTCTGTGCCCAGGAGCTGTAGGGTGACACTGTCACAGAAGAACCATCTCTTCACACACAACTTCCTGCAATGCACAGTTGCAATCCCATCAGGCTGACCCTAGTCAAATCAACTTAGAGCCATGGTTACAGTGCCCAAAACTTTTATTCACTAACCATCCTCACACGGCAGAGATCCAGGTCCAGAATCAGAAGGCCTCCTCTTCCCTTTCTGCCCCATCTCGTCCCTTCTTCCCATCCCACCCTGCCCCTCTCCTTACTTCCACAGGATATCACTGCTTGCAATTGCACTCCAGTACTATGGGAAAGAAAAGAATCCTTCAATCAACAACTGCCCCCTTCCCCTTGCTCTCAATTTGTTCTGTGCTGGCCCTGCACAGATTAATCAAGCACAGTCCTAGCTCCCCAGGCCCAGGCAGCCTGGAGAGACCTACCCCAGCAAACACAAGTCACCTTGTGAGGGCTCAGAGGAAGGAGGGCCAGTCTCCACAGGTCTGACACAGAGTCTCAAGGAGGCCTCATATCTGCAGCACATCTTCGTAGGGCAGCTTGTTCTTTTCATTTAGCAGGATTTTGTTGTCACTGTTGCTGTTCTGAGATAGGGTGTCTAAGTAGCCTGGGCTGGTTCTAAATTCATGTAATTGAGTATGACCCAAACTCCTGGTCATCTTGCTTCCACCTCCCAAGTGCTTCAATTACAGGCATGTGCCACCACTCCTGCCTCATTTAACTGGATTTGATGTCTTCAGAGTGGAAAATGCTAACCCATGAGCCCTAGATGTATCCGTTTGCTATTCTGTAGGTCTGTGCTTCTGTTGGTCAAGAGAAGCAGCTGAGTTCCCGAGACATTAATGTGTCAGTGCTGAGTAGACAGGTCTGAATAAGGAGGGAAGAGAAAGGAAGAAAAGGAAAAAAAGGAAGGGAAGAAAAGGATGGGAAGAGAAAGGGAAGCAAAGGAAAGGAAGAAGAAAGGAAGCCAGGCTATGTGAGTACCATGCTGGAGTAGCTGAGACTCCAAGACTGAGCAGGAAAGGCCCATGGACTTATCATGCACCAGATGGAGGAGTTCAGCCAAGGAGCTTTTACCTTGTTCACTTGGGAAACCTGTAGCAAACTGAAAGCATCCAGATAGGAGAAGATTTCCAGCAGTAGCTCACAAGGCAAATAGAACTCCATCTTGCATGGCCTAAGTCCACAGTGACTCTTCTTTCTCCTACCCAGCTTGCTCCAATTTTAAAGGCTTGGCCAAAGATTTAACAGGGTTGCCACCTGCAGATCAACAGACTTTGATTGTAGCAAGCTTCAGGTGTGAAGACTCTCAGCCTCACCACACACACACACACACACACACACACACACACACCGGAGCCAGAGACACTCAGCTAAGAGTGTTCACACCTAAATTCACTCCACAGTGTTATTCATCACATAGATGAGCTCAACAACTTCTGCCTGGCACTGTGGAAACCAAAAATGTACATGAGCTGGGGTAGCCCTGACATTGATGATGTCAGAACTTTGTAGAAAATACAGAGTAACACAATAATTTAAAATGTGACCTTGTTTCAAAAATAGAAAAGTAAAAGAATCATGCTGATTTTGTTCTTGTTCACTGTATTACAAAAAAATCAGAAATCAGGATGTATTTTTACTTTTATTATAACGGTTTTTGGAGACAAGAATTTCTCTGTGTAGCCCTGCCTTTCATGGAACTCACTTGGTAAACGAGGCTGGCCTCAAACTCAGAAATCTGCCTGCCCTCTGCCTACGAGATAGTGGGATTGAAGGCATGTGCCACCACTGCCTGGCTGGAATATATTTTTATTCTAATGTTACCTTCTCCTGTGTATCCACAGGGTAGAGCCTATGTCCTAGACCCTTGGTAACTGTGCTTTTGTGTCTTTTAAGATAATAATTCAGGATTGGGGATTTAGCCCAGTGGTAGAGCAATCTTCTAGAAAGCTCAAGGCCCTGTGTTTGGTCCTCGGCTATGAAATAAAAAAAAAAGACAAAATAAAAAAAGACAATAACTCAAGGAACTCAGCAACCTAACACTATGATAGAGTGTACACAGACATACACAATGGACGGATGCATGTATACATACGTGGTCACACACATACAAAATGGATATATGTATATACACACAGAGACACACACATACAAGATGGATATATTATACACACACAGACACACTTTTTAAACTATGCTCTCTACTGATTCAGACTGAAAATAGATTTGAGAACTGCAGACCCCACCACTGACTTCTCTACTACAGAGTTGGAGGGTTGAATGTGAGGCACCAAGCAAAAGCAAAACAGCCTGAAGATGGGACTACAGGCCACAGTGCAGGCCCAGAAAGGAGCCAGAGGCCTCCTTGTGCTATACTGTTCTCAATTTTCTTTCTTTCTTTCTTTCTTTCTTTCTTTCTTTCTTTCTTTTTTTCTTTTCTTTGTCTTATTTTGAGACAGGGTCTCACTATCTAGCCCTGACTGACTAGCCTGGATCTTGATATATATAGTCCAGGCCTCAAACTTAGAGATCTGTCTGCCTCTGCCTCCCAGGGGCTGGGATGAAAGATGTGTGCCACAGTGCTTGGCTTGGACTTTCTGTTTGCATGTTTGCTCAGCCAGAGGATGGCCCTGTCTTCTTTCTCCGAGTGACTGATTTAGATGTTCACATGCAGAGTTGTTATAACTCCATATAATAGTCATGAGGCATTGCTACCACAGACAATGTAACAATGGATATTTTCCATCCATGAAGGAGATCTGATAATCTTTACAATGTATAATTGTTTAAGGTGTGTGTGTGTGTGTGTGTGTGTGTGTGTGTGTGTGTGTGTATGACTGAATGAAAGAGGACAACTTCCTATGATCCAGGCTAGCCTATAATTCACTGTGGAGTTTAGATTGGCCTCAAACATGAAATCTCTTGCCTGCTGAAGCCAGAAAAGGGCATTTGACCTCCTGGAACTGAGGTTACAGACAGTTGTGAGTGGTACTGACACCATGTGGGTACTAAAAATCAAACCCAGGTCCTTTGAAAAAGTAGCCAGTACTCGTAAACCAGTACTTGTAACCACTGAGCGACCTCTCCTGCCCCTAAACAGACACTTCTTCTTGCTGTATTTAAACCAGTATTTCAATAATGGCCATCTAGTAAAAGGATCATCAAGTGACCAGTAGAGAAATGAGCTGAAACACAATTTCTGAGGCTCCGATACTCACCACACAAGGTGAGTTGAAGACAGTTGTTGCCGTACCTTACTGGGGCCCATTAGTAAGTGAGTGTAAATGAGATGGGGTGTGTGGGAAAATACACTCTCCCAGGTTTAGAAATTGTTTATCTGACAGTGGGAGGGTCCTGTTCTCTGCAGGGACACTATGAGACAATGCACCCCTTGCAATGCACCCCTTGTCTCTGTCAGGTCGCAGAAGCTACCCTGGCATCCCTGGACCTGAGAAGCATCACACTGTTCTCTGTCTCTGCCACCAGTCAATGTTCTCATCCCGGTCTACATTCTTCTCTGCTTTGTTGTATCTCACTATGTAGCTCTGGTGGCCTAGGCTCACTATGTAGACAAGGCTGGACTGGAACTCACAGGGACCCACCTGCCTCTGCCCGCTGCTCAGTGCTGGGATTAAAGGTGCGGATCATCAAGCTGAGATGATCTTCTTCTTCTTCTTTTTTTTTTTTTTTTTTTTTGAGACAGATTTTCTCTGTGTTGCCCTGGCTGTCCTGATACTCACTCTGTAGTCCAGGCTGACCTCTAACTCAGAAATCTGCTTGCTTCTGCCTCCCAAGTGCTGGGATTAAAGGCGAACACCACTTCCACCATCATCCAGATAGGATGATAGTCTTTCTTTTTAGGTCATCTGTAAATGTATTCAGAGCACATCTAGGAAAACTAAGGTAAGTTCCTCATTTGAAATTCATAATCCAGTCACATCTTTGATTTCTTTTTAATTACCTGAATGAGTCTGTGTCTTTGTGAACATGACCACAGGTGCCCACAAATTTAAAGGTGTCAGATCTCCCTGGTGCTAGACTTGCAGGCAGCTGTGGGCTGCCCCAGGAGGTTTTGGGAATAGAACCTGAGTCTTCTGTAGAAGCAGTATGTGCTTTTTTAATTGGTGACCCATGTCCCCAGTCCTCCTCAGTCATATATTTTATCATATTAAATGACATTCACACCTTTGTCAATTAAGGAAATACAGGGTCCAGGGATTGGGACATAGATGTGTATTTAGAAGGGGCCACCATAACTGGCCACTGCAGTTATTGAATAAAGACATATTTGCACATTCACTGTGTTTGGAAATCCTGTAATATCACCTTAATTTAACAACATTAATGAGGACAGAGCAAGAGTGCACACAGGTTCTTAACCAGTGCATGCTGCAAACAGTTGGGGCCTTGCTGGGTACAGCAAGATGTCTGTAGCTCTTAATAACAGGCTTCAGTGTATTATCCAGTTGGTTTGGGAAACTTGCCATCACAGTCTTCATCTTCCAGTAAGACATTTGTTTACTCTGAGGTTCCGTAAACAGACAGCAAAGGCTTAAAACACCCTTCCAGAGAGAGGGAGGAAGAAGGATGAAGGAGAAGCTCAGATCCTACAGCCCAGGCAGTGGACAGAATACAGAAGGTTCTGAGGATGACTGTGGCGGGAACTTCATCTGACTGCAACCAAATTAGACCTTGTCCTGGCTAGTTTTATGTCAACTTGACACAAGCTAAAGTCATCTGAGAGAAGGGAACCTCCATGGAGAAAATGCCTTCAAATGATCAGGTGGTAGGCAAGCCTGTAGGGTATTTCCTTAATAAGTGCTTGATGTGGGAGGGCCCAGCCCATTGTGGGCCGTTCTATAAGGCAAATGGTAATCTTTGCAACAACAATTTCATTAAACCTAAGTATTAATGTAGTCAAAAATATGCAGGAATCCTGGGCAGTGGTAGCACATGCCTTTAATCCCAGCACTTGGGAGGAAGAGGTAGGTGGATTGGTGAGTTCGAGGCCAGCCTGGTCTACAGAGCAAATTCCAGGACAGTCAGGGGTACACAGAGAAACCCTGTCTCAAAGAAAAAAATAGGCACGGAACCAGGCACACCATTAAATTTCATCACTCAGGAGGCAGAGGCAGGTGGATCTCTGAGTTTCAGGCCAGCCTGGTCTATAGCCAGAGCTATTAACCTTCGGGCCATCTCTCTAGCCCTGAATTTTGATTTTTTAATTAAAATTTTATTTGTTTGTTTTTTCATTTGTGTGTGTCTACATGTGTTTATATGTTAGATGTTAGTGGTATTTATGTATGTATTTATGTGTCTACATGTGTGCATATGTTAGATGTGAGTGGTATGTGTATATGTATTTATTTATGTGTCTACATGTGTGCATATGTTAGATGTGAGTGAGTATCCACGGGAGATGGAACAGGGTGTTGGATGACCTGGAGCTGGAGTCACAGGCTAGCCGTGAATTTTCATGTAAAGACGTAAATCGGTGGCTAAGAGCAGTTGTTCTTGCAGAAGATCCGGCTTTGAGTCTCAGCACCCACATGGCAGCTCACAGCTCCAGTTCCAGAAGATCCGATGCCCTCTTCTGAGGCACACAGAGGTACCCAGATATACATGCAAGCAAAACAGACATACATGCATGTGAAACACTTGTTACAATCATACAAAAATGGATTATTGTTTTGGGTTATTTTTGAGGCATCTCTGGAGCTGCAGGGATGGATATGTAATTAGGAGTACCAGACACTGTACCAGGGGACAGAGGTCAGTTCCCCGAAGCACACAACTGCCTGCAACTCCAACTCCAATGGCTCCAACAACCTCTTCTGGCTTCATTGGACTCCAATGCTGATGCATGTGTGTATGCACGCGCACACACAAACCATTTAAATAAAAACAATAATAATTAAACAAAAATTTTTAGAAAGAGAAACCTCAAAATTCCCATGTTTTAAAGCAGGATTATTCTGGCCCCACAGATCACTTTTCTATGTTCCTACTCTCAGTGAAACACCCCTGACAACTGTTCCCTTCCTCCAACCAAACACCCATTTCCTTTGCTGTGACACTACCTGGCTTCATCTGCAGTGAACTCCTTCACAGTTCAGACCCCACAGTCCTCCTTACAATATCCGCCCAGCTCAGGCCTTCAGGCT